TTCTAAATTATTTCTTTGATAGTCTTCGCAAACATCACCTGCAGCTCAAGGCTAAAAAAATAATCTATTCTGACTTTCGCTTCAATTAAAGCTTCTATTATCGTATCTTTTCTTCAACTGCTTTTTCATGCTATATCCAGTTTTATATATTTGTTTACCAACTGAATTTTTGACAGTGATTTCAAAATTTCATCCACGCAAGTATTAATTCTTTTCTCTTAAATAAAGAACCACACAATTTATAACCAGTAAGATTTAACTGAACCAATGTAAAAAAAAACAAAAACAACAAATTCTGGACCATCGTAACAAACAAATTAGGCAAAATAAGAGCAAAAAGGAAACTTGCTTTTTTTCCCGATTTTACTGTTTCATCCAGTGGGTTTTTCTCCTCTGCTTTTGTTGATATGGTTCCACTTCAAACTTTTATTTATTGCTGAATAACTGAGGAATCCGTCTTCTGACATCGCTTTGTTATAGATCCCACTTCTGACACCGCATTGTTGTATACTTCTTTTAACACCACTTTATCATGATCGTATTATAGACGTACTTGCTTTCCCTTCAACTTTATTAAGGTTGTATATATTTCTATCAGGAATTGACTCACACTAATATACATAACAAATTGTGGTTTATTAGTATGATCAACAACACACAGCTTGAGAACTAACTTTTGGTTTCTTATTGACAACATTTTGCTTTCTTCCTTCCCTCTCTCTCTATTTATCTGTTCACTCTCACATCTCCCAAACTCCTTCCTTTCTTCTGTTAGACGCCTGATTTTTCAAATATTTCTTTCTCAAAACCATACAAACTGGTTTTGTTTTGTCCAACCTTTACATCTGTTTTCTGTAATTAGAATTATAATGCTAATACTCGTAGTAGTTTCTATAAACTCCTCGGCGGCTAAACAAGAAAGGCGAACGATCCTTCCAATCATTCTTTAGATAGTTAGTGCTGTAATCCATTAATCCATCAAGGAATGACTAAAAGTTGGCCGCTTTCTCAACCCAACCGATTCTGCAATTACACTGAACTACGTAACAATCCGTAAAAATAAGAGATTAACGTAGTACACTGTCATAATGTTGCTACAATTTAAAATATCAAAAGTTATACATCTTATAATTTTGCATTTATGCTATTACCAGTCCCTAATTTAATTAATTATACTTAATTATAATGCCTGCATTCCAAACTGTAATTAAACTAATTTGTATGTTGTAAAATACTAGTAGATGATCATATTAATTACTTATTTTGCTATAGCAAAACCATACACAATGGCAACATATTTACTAAAGAACTAGTGCTACACTATAATAGAGTGATAATAAGAACAAGAAAATCCACCATGACAAGTACTGAAAGGAATAAAATACTATGTACAAATTGTTGATTGCTTTATGTTAAAATAAGTTCAGAGCCTTACCACGTCGTTACAGTTCATTTAACCACGCTCAGTCTTGCTGTAAATGGCGATCGTGCATCTTGACAATAGTCCTGTGAGTTTTTTTTTTCATTACAAAGAACTCAATTGTACAGCTGTCATGTCCAAAGCATGCCACTCCTCCCCGAAGACTTTCTACAATCCATAACGTGTATGAGGACAATAGTTTTCCAGCACCTGCTTCAACTGTCTGATCGCACAGAAGTCCATAGTCGCTGAGTATGTCTTCGTATAGAATAGCAGGTATATGTGTTTCATTCTCCACCTACTTGAGGTATGCAGTGGTTGAACGAGGGTCATGACTGGAAGTCTTATCCTAATGAACACATATGTCGTGGAAACAGCTTGTGTACACGCGACTTGTATCACTTTTCCAGACATAAGGTTATTTTTGTTTATATTGCGTACTGTTACCTGGACACATGAACAGATTTTCCCACTGATCTTTGTGTTCGCGAACTCTCACCTATTACAAAGCGCCGGACTTTGCTTACCACGGATGGGGTAATACTTTTTGCAGGTCTTTTTCTAGATGGTCCTGGGGCTCAAATTTAAACCATGTTCTTTGTTTTCTAAAGTCGTTAAACATAGGGGAAAAATCTAACTTTCCGATCTGATCACATCTTTATGATCTCAGTATATCAATATCTTGCATTGAATAGAACTGTTACGTACACTTCCCAAACATTGTCAAAAGGTAGTCTTGATACATGTTGTTCTACCAAACGTTATATCGGATGTAGTGTCACGTGACTTGCTGATTTCCGTATTCAAAATTGTTTTAATATAACGTACTTAACCTTCTATATAAATGTTATGAGGTATCGCTTCGAGAAATATGTGTAATATTTACCATTGCTCCTATGATAAGATTTGAAATACTTACAGTAAAAGATATAATGTATGGTATAGTTAATAAGAGATTGTTAAAGATCACTTCAAACAACAGAGTAAAAACTGCTTTGTTTGCTTTAAAAACATATAAATTATAGTAGATCTCATTTGTTTCCAAATATATATTTAAGAACATTATTGAGCATAGTATTTACGTTGTTGTTGCTAAATAAGAAAATATTTAATTAAAGTTTCTACTGCAGACAAGTAGCATGCTTTTTGAAATTTCCTAAACAAGATTAACAATACCACTTTAATAAAAAAAAAATGTTAACCTTTAAATTGTTTTATTCAGTATAGCAAGATGAAACGCGTAATCCTATGAAAAAAGTAGTAAATTTCAAGATTCTCTAACTTACCCTGATCGTAGCGGTGGCAGTTTTCCGATTAAAGTGTACATTTTTGTTTTGAGTTTTCCGAGCACTATTATTTACTGACACACGGCTAGGATTTCTTCTTAACCGAACAGCAGACAATTGAAACTTCATTTGTGTGTGTTGCGTTAGGCGACATACAAACATACCACTGGACAGTGGAGAGTGGTCATGCAGCTACAAAGGTCACATTAGCTATTTAGTGCGAACAGTCGACGTCTGTTTGGGAAGTTCACACGTGGTATATGACTTCGAGATCACGTGACAAGAAGCAACATTCGGGACTGATGTCAGTCGGGAAATCCCTCCAACTACGATAGACGACAGAGTGCGAGAGTTTTCAGTAGCAAGTAAACATAGGCTCGGATGTGGGCGAGCAAGCTGGTCGGAACTACGAAACAAAAAAGCTTTTTATTAGTGAAATATTACTGTTATCCTTCGTGTATAATATTTGCAATACAAAAAAAAAACATGTTTCACATAGCCGAGTAATGTGACATTGGACAGATATTCATACACGACATTTGATAATATTTTACCATGAAGATAGAGGTCTATGTACCAGTTTGAATGATTAAAACACATAATAAATGTCTGGATCAAACTCAACATATCAAAGACGCAATATTCCAATTGCATATGATGTTCTTGACGAAATCCATAAGACAATCTGTAACGTATATTTGTACAGACAAGCAAAATTTTAGAATAGATTTTTAAACCTCGAGATGAACAACACAAACAGAAGACAAACTTGAGTTTGTGGAATACCTGTAACATCTACCTGTTGAAACAATGTGTAAACGATCTACGATGTTTTGGATTTTGCTTATACTTTTGACGGAATACAAACTTCGTAAGTACACTTCTGTATTTGTTTACTTAATTTTTTTAATGTTTTATATAAATCTGTTTACAAAGCTTTCATAAAACAAAAATGCTGATTGAAACAAGTTGTAGCTATATGTTTGCAATTTAATTTAATTAACACATGAAATTATAGCAATGCATGATTTCGAATCTTTAAGAGACTTACTGGAATATTGCTAGTATAATCTGGAAATAAAGTTAGGTTACACAGCTCACAGAATGAATGAATATTCTTGACCAAAACATTAGAATAATGTAATTATTAAAATTCCAAACATTCTTGAACTATTAATTTTATTTCATATTAGGTTATAGTGCGAAATATTAAATAATTTAAAAGTTTACTGATATAATGTAAACTATGGTAAACATGGTATAGCCGAATAACATATAGTATCATACTTTTGTTACTCTTCTAATGGGTAACATCTATTTTTTTATAAACAGAAGATCAGACTCATTAAGAACCTCAGATTAACAGATACGTAGAGAGATACAAAAAGATAAGTTAATACAGAAAGACATACAAATAAAGATATGGGCAAAAAAGTAGGCGAAAAATTTAATTCAATTTTATAAATCGACATTGTAATGCGTGCAATGTTTAGAATGTTACCTGTATATATATATATATCTTGATGTACAAATTTATTAGAGCACTTCAAAAAATTTCATTTGTTCAGAGTTACACATAAAATAGTTCAATAGTAGTTGATTTATTAAAGAAATTAATTTGTAATTATTAAAAATTAATTTTTCGAGAACTATAACAAAATTATTACATAAATAACATATTTAAGTTCTTTAAATGTTAATGTTATTTAGTGTTAACAGCAAAGCATATTTTCAGCATCGTGTCTATGTTCTTTCTCAAAGTCTCTGATATAATTTGTTTCCATTTTTCCAATAATCTGTGTCTAAAAGTTTTCTTTAGTACGTTGGTGTGGAGGTTGTGAATCTTATGGCGGCCATTCCATTCATCGTAAATTTCCCGAACTTTCTTTCTTTGTCAAATAAGCTCGACATTTCTTGAAAGTGGATTTGGGGTCATTGTCATTTTGAAATATAAAACTTCTACCTAGAGGGATCTGTATTGTGGTATATGTGCTGATCCATGGTTCCATCAATTTTGTGAAGATGACCTGAACCATTTTCAGATATTGTGGTCAAAACCATCACAACCTTCAGCAAGCTTGACTATTGGCACCAAGATACATATTCTTTCGCAAAAGCTATTTTATTTGCTATATTCCCTTTGCGCAGTGGACCTCTTTGCTGCTATTCTTCCCATAACGTCTTGAGACTTTATCTGTACGTAACTTGTTAATGTCATCATCAAGGTTTTTGACATATTTCCTTTGATTTTTCAGGGAAAAAGTTTTTTATATGTAACATCTCTTTAAGTTAGATTTATTTTCTGCCCGCTGCCTTATCTAACATTATTGTACTGGGTTTCTTTGGAACTGTCCAATGTGTAGCTCACGGTATTTGGCTAACAGTTGATGCCTTTTGAAATAGTCCTTAAACTCCAACCAGCATCATGTAAATATTTGAATCCAACTCTGTCAAAGGGTGTTAATTTTCTGTGTTTGACATTTTGATGGTAGCATCACATTGTATTAGCTGTACTGAATGATGTTTTTCAAAGAAAAATGATCCCTTATATACCAACATCTACCTGTATTAAAACCTCAGAAGGTGAAAATCTCACGTTTTTATAAGTGATGACTGGTACAGAAATTGAATGCAGTCATATATAAATATTGTTGCACAACTTTGTATTTAGATTATACATGCTGAACAGATTTCGAGAAATCTACTGCTCTTAATAATTTTTGGTTAGGTGATGCTTTTCTTTTAAAATTTTCAGTTAACTAAAATATGTGATAAAATTAAATATATGCCTATTTTGATATTTTTTCCAATATTTTATACTACAATGGCTTTATTTCATAGGAACGACTAATCGGAACTACAGAAACAGGGAGATGCTCTAATAAACTTGAACACTACTGTGTATCTTTTATATCTATTAGTAATCAGATGCTTACATCGCACTTTGTCTAAAACGACTCCAGAAACCCCACCATTTTTTTTTTTTTAATTTCGCATTAGGAAGCTAATATCATCTGAAAATCTTTAAAAAATGTAGAAATTAAGGAAGGGGTTTATTACAGTTTACAACTTACTTCCAGTTATAACTAATACTTAATAATGTTTTGTATCTTTGCATCAAAATTACCATTGGGTCATTTCGGTATAAAGTGAATAAACGTTTAGTAATTTCCGATTTTTTTTTCATTATAAAATAATGTTTTTGAGTAAAAACAACTTATAATTTTAGAGATTAAACAATTTTTGCAATGAATTTAAGAAAGACGATAACAATAACCTTTTTGTTTCATTTAACTTCATTGTGATGTATACAAGTTTCCGTAAAGTATACTCCATGATCAGTCGCAAATAAATATATATGAAAGCGCGATAATGTCTTTTATTTCGTATAAATTAAGACTTTTATAATGTGTTTATTAGTGTTTATTAAGTAGTTCGGTGGGGGGGGGGGGAGCTGATACTAAAATTATCTTTTGAGTTATGACTTCGAGAAAATATCAACATATTCATACATCTATATATACACTTTATTATTATGTGTAGAAGTTTTGGATGCATTAGCCAGAGAAGGACCAACATTCGTCGTCGAACCACCAGGTAGCGTTGACTTTGCAAACGACACGGGCGCAGTAATTTCTTGCTCGGCTCGAGGGAACCCTCCTCCAGTTATTACCTGGACAAAAGAAAAGGGGGAATTGGTAACTAATGTCCCAGGCCTTAGATACGTTCGGCCAGATGGTTCACTTGTATTTACACAATTCGGAGCAGATGAATACAAACAGGATATTCATGACTCCACCTATAGATGTGTTGCTTCCAACGTCATTGGTAAAGTTGGAAGTGTAAACGTTCGAGTAAAAGGTGGTAAGTATTTAACATATTTCTATTCCAAAAAATTAAAATAAAGCCTTAAATACACGTTATCACATTTCAGTGTCTAACCAATACCTTCAGAACCATTTGTTTTATAAAAGTATAATAATGCTCTTTTGGTGTATATTTGTGTAAAACCCATTATATTCTTAAGCATGTTACAAATAATATAAAGTGAGCTAGTCTGTAGAAATTGAAGTACTTTGTATCACGATAGATTCTTTAATTTATGAAAAAAGAACATAACGTACATATATTCAGTTCTAATGTTTCATTTTTGTTTTGTTTAATAATGACAAATCCAAACTTTTAAAAACATATCAAAAGGTCTCCGATAAAAGCTTACCAAACATTTGTAATTCCACAAGGTTAATATAATGGCTGCTCGTTAGAAATATTAACATCCACAATCGTTACTATTATCACCTCATAAAAGCAGATCAATAATTACTTCAAGTCGAAGGGTTTTTGAACACTTTATATTCTTGAAATTAGAGAGATGCCGCAACATACTAATCAAACTTTTGGTGATAGTTTTCACAGCGGTATAAGTTGTACGTGAATCTTCACAACAGGCTTGGTAAAAATTAAATATTTTGAATTTTACCTTAAAGCGTCCTACTTTTCCGAACAGAAATAAATTTCTGATATTCCATTTCGCGTGCCTCATAACGTTGAAGGAATGTGTATTAAGGACTGAATAAAGAGGTGAATATTTTCTTCCACACATAAAATGAAATGAAATCACTTCGAGAATATGACGTCAACGAGTGCAAAAACAATCATAAATCATTATTGAATATATATGTATATATATATGAGTATATGTGAGCATATATTTGCTAAGACTTATTTAATTTATCGTGAAGTTCGATCAGCTTTGTCAGAATGACAAAAGCCTAGCCCTGTAAGACATCAAAGATAAGACAAAGGGATTAGGAATTTACGTTCCTTAATTTATTTGTCAATTCAGCATACCTATATCGAGCCTTTTTAGTAGATTTGGATGTTTAGATATGAAATATAAGCATAAATTGTAATGAGATATTAATATGAAGATCTTAAATTTTGAGGAAAAGCTGTGTCGTCGAATTTAATGATTCAATGTGGGTTTTAGTTTTGCGAATAGTAGACTTTCACGAATTCTTAATTGCTTTTCATCCTCTGTTCAACCTTTTATTACAAAGTTTTGATTAATGATTCGATGTAACATTTAGATAAAACATATCGTACAATGCTTGGTGAATTATTAAGTTTCCAAGAATCTTGAATTAAAACATTATAATTTCATGTTATAATGATTTGAGCTCATCAGTTCTTCTGCTTAAATTAACTTTGTGAAATTTGAGTTGCTGAAGAAAAAAGCTTTAAAGTTGAATAAATGTAGACAATTTAATCGTTTTCACTGAACTTGAAATTAGATTACATGTTTTTAATGGTTAGGTTTTCCCAAAAATAAATAATTTATCCGAGCCCTAACTAGGAGACAGGTACAATAAATTGTGTAAACTTTTAGAACTGTTGATATATTATGCGTGCAGATTCATAAGCATTTTGTTAATCTAATCTTTTTTCAAACAGTTAAGGATTTTTAAAGTTATTGCGTGTTTTTCGAACTTCAAAGTTTTTCATATAGAATTCATTAAGCCAAGATCATAAAAAGAAACAAAAGTCCAGATGTTTTAAAAAGAAATTAGTTACAAGTATAGGTTATTTACTTCCTGGAACTCATATTATAAGCCTTACGTTGTCTTCCTTTTCATAACAATAGCTCAGGAAAGAATAATAATCTATATCTCAAGAAAAATACAAAGCCCTCACAGATCATGGAAAACAAATTGATTCTATTATAACAAAGCCAAAAAAAAAGGTAGTAATTTTAAATAAGTGTTATGTATTGGATTTTCGAATAGCCTGGAATTGAGTTAAATGATAATTTATATATAGTAGTTAAATTGTACTTTGGATTTAGCAGTTAAGTAAAAGCCGATATATAGTCAGTT